TGTTCAGGGTCAAACTTATTCAATGTTAGCGAACCTTGAAAAGCGTTTAATCAACCCAGAAACAAAAAGTTAGGCGTTTGAACGTGATTAATGTTAAAATGTCACGAGATGTTGGAGCTAGCAGCTACAAGTGTGGTAGAGTTAAAGTGGTGTAGAATTTGTACAAGCAGCCATCTTCTATTTCACGACAAGCTCCTCTTTTATTTTTATGTTGGAGATGAAGCTGCTTCAGTTCTTCACCTTCGTAGTCGGGTAATGTGTAGTGGCCCCCACATCCATTAGTTGGTCAACCAATTTTTTTTTTTTTAAAAAATGCACATCCGTTAGATTTAGCTTGCGTCTTACGAGCAAGCCCCGGTGACCAATCTATTCTATTTCTTTCTTATTTCTCCTAACCTGATTAACTTCACTGATATTATTTTCCTCTATGCTTGATTGTCTCTGACTCTTTTAATTTTCAATGTCGATGGGAAAAATATCACGAGTTTCACCTAGAAGCCTCACAAGTATTGTAAGGTTTATAAATTTGAGGGGCTCTCCCACCCAACAGGTTAGTGTTTTGAGATGGACTCTCCCTTTGAACTTGTGCTCATCATATTGATGCTTTCATTAAGAGTCCGGTGTCACGGAAAGGACTACCCACAGAGGATTTTGACTGGTAGAAGGCCGAGTGAAGTGTTGTGGAGTGATGTGACAAGCACAAGTCCAAAAGGAGAGTCCATCCCAAAAGATAGCCTGTTGGGTGGGAGAGCCCCTCACACTTATAAACCTCACAATACTTGTGAGGCTCCCCGATGTAGGACTCATGACAATGCTATCCCGTCAAGAGTCGACGTCTCCGATGGCTTCACTCCACGGCATTTCACTTTGTCTTTTACCAATCAGAACCCTCCGGGGGTAGCTCTTTCCGTGACACCGGACTCTCAATGAAAGCACCAATGTGACGAGCACAAGTTCAAAGGAAGAGCCCATCCCAAAAGACTAACCTATTAGGTGGGAGAGCTCCTCACACTTATAAACCCCACAATACTTATGAGGCTCCTCAATGTGGGACTCGTGACAATGCCACCCTATCAAGAGCCGACGTCCCCAGCGGCTTCACTCCACGGCACTTCACTCGACCTTCTACTGGTTAAAACCCTCTATGGGTAGCCCTTTCCATGATACCGGACTCTCAATGAAAGCACCAATGTGATAAGTACAAGCCTAAAGGGAGAGCCCATCCTAAAAAATTAGCCTATTGGGTGGAGAGCCTGTCACATTTATAAACCTTACAATACTTGTGAAGCTCTCCGATGTGAGACTCGTGACAGAAAATAAATTTACTTATTTTTTTTATTATCGAATATATTTAAATAGACACGCTTTTTTTTTATGTAGTTAGTAAATAGACACGCGTTTGCGTCTAGATGTGAAGTTTGAAAATAGGTTTTTGGGTTTCAATTTAAAGAGAAAAGAAAAACACAAAAAAAAAAAAAAACACCATTTTTGGGTTAGGTGCCAATTGAGCCGTTAGGAATAGGGAGAAGCAAGTGGGAGTCTAATTGAAAGCTCCCCATACGACCATCGAGATCACGTCCATTAAAAGGGATTAATTTTTCACGTCATAAATTAAGATTGAATTTTTGCTAAAAAATGTGTCTATGTTTAATGTCTTGACAATACATCAGACAAAATTATTTTTAATAGAAGAATACATACAAGTAATTCAAAAAAAAAAAATAAAGAAAGTTGCCTGCATGAATTGCTCATCTATTGTCGAAAACTCTTTTGCTACTAATTCGTTGGATTGTATAACCAGTATTAACTAATAATTTATTTTATCCGATAGAGAGATCATATTTTTTCATATTTATAAGTCATTTAATGATTTCTTTTATGACAAGTTTTCTTTTCACTCTCTATTAAGCATTAGCGAGAGAAAGTATGTTGCTAGGATATATGTATTTAGTAAGACAAAGTTAAAACCTAAATTTTTAGACAGAATTAATAAAATTTAAAATTTTTTTTATTCTTAAAAAACATATTAAAAATAACATATAAAAAAATTAGAGTGAATAATACGTCAAGGCGTGATAAATCAGCAGGCATCACAAGTTTTTTTCCCCTCATACGTGAATAAATGCCCATAACATCTCATATTCTGATGGCATGTGATGCGGGAAGCGTCACGCACGGTACATGTAAGGAAACATTTATTGTGTTTTGGCAGGTTTTGATAAGGGAAAATCATATAGAGGTCTGGCATGCAGATCTCGGTTCTCAAAAATCTCATCGATTACACTAATGACCCTAAAATTTCATAAATTCCTATACTAATTAATTTTCCATGTGCATTTATCAAAATGCACTCATTTAAAAAAAATAAAACTATGTGAAACTTTTATTGTAATTATTTTAATAAATACGTGCAAAATAATAACGGTTAAAGTCTATTAAGACTTTAGTATTATTTTTGAATTTCATGAAATTAATTAAAAGGTAAATTCATATGTGGCACTTTATGCGTGATTTTCCTATTTGTTAAAGTAGTCAGTAACTCAGTATAATTAGAAGATAAAGATTAAAGAGCCGTCTGCCGCACCAGGACCTTTTACGGGGGCACTCTTGGCTGAGCAACAGTGCGTTACGTAACCATAGACAGCTGAATATAAGTCATTTCATTTGTAATTTTGTACATTTTATTTAATCTTGACTGATCGGATCGGGTTTGCATAAATAAAAGGAAAAATCACACCTGGTTTTTATAGAGCAAATATAAATACGGTTAAGCCTCACCAAACAGAGAAAATATTCTACAGTCTCTTGATCATTTGGTGTGAATAATTTAATAAATAAAATTACTCATTTGTTCTAACTGACAAAAGAAAAGAATGAAGAAAGATAACCATTTTTGTGCAGTGAAGATAATGAAAAGAGCCCTCGCAATCGTCTTAAAAAAAAAGTGAGCAAGATAGGATCATTTTATTGTTAAAATGTGAACCCACTATTATCCTCCCCATTCCATATTGATGCATCTTTGATCTTTTTAGCGCATTTGGTGTTTGTGATTGTAGGAATTCATCCAGAAAAGAAAAGCCCACCTTCAACCTTCAATTTAGTGTTACTATAACTATGCTGAACAATGTAAATAATAAGATTGGTTTATATGTATTCTTTGCTAATCATGTAATTCACCATTGCATGCGTTCTTTACTAATCATTTAATCTAATCATTTACCTTGTTCGGTGTTGTTAAAATAACACTAAAACTGAAGGTCAAAGCTGAACTTTTCTTTCTTACGAACCCTTATAATTGCAAACACCGAACGTATTTAAAAGATTAAAGAAGTAGTAATATGGGATGAGAGGATAACAGTGAGTTTACATTTTAACTATAAAGTAATTTTACCTGACTCACTTTTTTGAAGACGAATGTGAGAGCTCAGCTCATTACCTCCATTGCACGAAAATGATTTTTCTTTCTTTATCCTTTACTTTTGATTCACTCAGGAAAAATAAATAATTTTACCTATTGAATTATTCACACTAAAAGATCAAGAGATTGCACAATTTTTTTTTTTTTCATTTGGTGGTACTTGACTGTATTTACATTTGCTTTATGAATCTAGATGTGATTTTTCCTAAATAAATAAAAGGCACCCGACTGATTGTCAACCAGGATCCATATCACAGACCGGATCGATCGGTTTGATTAGCATGCCCCCGTGAATGATCCTCCGAAGATGTGCCATCATTCAGAAGGGTTTAATTAAATATGCTTTTATGTGATTGTCTGGCCTTTATTTTGAGAGGTGAGGCATGAAAAGAAGACAAATACAACACAACTCCGCCAAATATAAAATTGGGGTGGAAACGAGAAATGTCTTGGTCACGCAGTCTTGTTGAAAACGTATTTGTCGTCCTATCCGCCAAAACGCCATTCCGCCGCACCAACTCAAACCAAAAGCAACGTACTGAAGACCTGTGATTCTTCCAGGCGTTGCTCCGATCACCCAAGCAGTTCGGTTATCGTAACTTCAATTATAGTCTCTTCTTCATTACATGATCTCTTTCCACTTCCATGATCACAAAACACTCGCCTCTCATCCTTTTACTCGTTTTTCTCCTTCCCCTTATCCCGGTTCAATCAAACCGCCGCCACTGCCACCAAACATGCCGTCCGCACCGCTCCCCCGATGCCTTCCCCTACCCCTTTGGCTTCTCTTCCGGCTGCGCAATCCGACTCAACTGCAACCCCTCTGCCGGAATCCTCATAGGAGAATACCCGGTCCACTCCATTAACTCCGATACCATAATTGTCGGCGTCAAATCCCGATGCAATCGCCCGTTTCATACCTTCGGCCAACTCTTCAGCCATAGATACGCGCCCACGTCGCGAAACGCCATCCTTTTGCAAAACTGCAGCAAAACGGTCTCCCCATGCATCATCCCGGCGACCATGGTGCAGACTAGATTCGAGTCGAAAAACTGCAGCTCCGGCGGTGGCAATTTGAGTTGCTATTACGAAAACTCGACCGCTGATTTCATGAATCTCCAGAATTTAACAAACAAACACTGTACGTACCTCATGTCTTCGATAGCGGCTGAGGATTTAAGGAACAACTCGGATGTGAGTGCGGTGACAGCGGTATCATTGGAGGTTGAGACGATTGAGCTCGGATGGTGGCTGGAAGGAGAGTGCCAGTGTTCCAAGGATGCCAATTGTACGAGACTAAAATCGCCGATTGACAAGAAGCCAGGGTACCGGTGCCGTTGCAAGGAAGGATTCACGGGCGACGGGTACTTGGCCGGAAGTGGTTGTCGGAAAGGTCAGTTCTAGTTGATGAAAATATTTTTAACTGAAGGTGACATAATTGTGGATTGACTTTTGGCGCAATGATCGCCATAATTCCATTAGCTTTTGATTTTTAATTAGGTGAACACAGTGAGCCTTGTTGATTGACCACGGTTCGGGGCTGGTTGATCAGATGGCGTTTCCCTGCCAATATCCACACTTTCTAAGTTCCAATTAATTAATAAAAAATAGTTTTCATCAAGTCTGCGACATGCAGTCTACAAACTTTAATATTAAAAAATTCTCATACAATTTGGGTTTGTGGGGGGGGGGGGGATTGTCATACAACGTTACTCCGTACTCTTTTGCGTGCATGATGACACGGGCTCATTTTTTATTTTTAAAATATATCTAGCTGTTGATAGATTATTTTCTTTAATTTATATTCTTCGAAATTAAATATTTGATTTACTCCTTCTTCATTGGAAATAATTAACCATTTATTCATGGTTTTAGCTGATTCATTTGACATAACTTGTATGAAAGTTTACTTAATCGTTAATTTGCCTGATCTGTACTGTTTTGCAAGCTGAGATTCAGATAACTTGGAAGTATTTACGTGGATTTTTATTCATATCATCATGTTGATTTATTAAGCCGCGATCATTTTATCTGATATGAAGGGCATTTTGATTAGGGAAATACTAACTTTTAAAAAGAAACTAGTATCTGTGCGAGGGTTAAAAAATATTTGAGGAAAAAATGAATAAACGATAGGGGAAAAAAAAACCAAATGCTTTCCAGCTGTTACGCTAATATTAATTATCAATTTGAAAAATATAGGAGAGGGACTAGTAGGAGTGGGACACGTAAGTCAATTCTGACAAGGAGAGCTTAAGGTTGTGCAAAAGTCCTCCAACAATTTTATCCCACTTAGTTCAATCCAAGATAGTCTTATTTCGTCCGATTTTTAAATATTGATCCTTTAAAATTAAAAAAATTAAAAGATTAGACTTTTTTTTAGGTTGAATTAGATAGGAGACTGAGCATATAGATTACTTAGCCTAATTCAATACTATTAATTTATTTAATATAATTATTTTATTTATTTTTGGCAAATGTTTCAAATATAATTTACGCTAAGTAGATAATTATATGAAGATTTGTTGTGTTTATTTTTAAATTTTTTTTAAACATAGTGTTGTTGAAGTTTGTTGAGTGTTGTTTTTATTAAAGTTATAAATTTAAATCATTTAGATTTTAATTGAAATATTTTTTTTGTTAAAATTATTTTAAATTTATTATGATTATAAGTAATCTTATTATCTTAATTTAGTTTATTAGGTTGAAATAAATTATTGCCTCTCGTAGAGAAAAAAATAAAAAAATAACTAAGTAGGTACTCGACTAACATGATCAATTTTTCAATCGTATGAACTAAATTTAACCCTATTAATTTTTAAGTTATTATTAAATAAGACTAGATTATAAATTATCTAATTCAATTCTTTTTATAAAAAATAAGACTTTTAAGTTATGTGTAAAATTTAGTGTTGTTCAGTCTTCTGTACACCTTTAGGAGAGCCAATTCACCTGCCTCGTGAACCGATCCTCTACTGTTTTTCCTCTCTCTGAGCAGACGGATCCTTTGTTTAGCGGTAAGAGAGGGGAAGTGAGGGATAACAATTCAAATGGGACGAGGAAGACACGTCATAAAGGCCTTGAAACATGAATGACCCACTCCAATCCCTGATCAAGGGGATTTTGAATCAACTTGCTTATCAACTGGCCTTCTGGTCAAGACTTCTTTCCATAGCATGGTCCAACAATGTTTCCTTTCCCTTTCTCTCTCCTCTATTTTTGTTCTTTTGGGCATCACATCACCAGGAGCATCTCAATTAATGTGGGCCAGAATAAACTCTAATTGATCGTTTTATTTGTTCTCGTTTTGGAACTCGCTATTCTGACAGCATGATGAGGCAGAAAGACGGATCTCACGAAGATAATAACTAATGTTCCCGAGTATGCTCATCGTGTCGAATAATTGAATTTTTATGGCTTGTGAATTTGAATCTTGATATTGAAGTTTGAGATTATATAATCTGATCAGACATAAACTGGGGGCCTTATTAGGGCTCATTAGCTATGCAGCGGTAATTAAAAAAACAAAAATCACATGTACTTGCTGCAAATTATGCTGCCTTCTCATTATGTCTTAAAATATTTTCTTTACTAATTGCTCCGCGTAAATTTGGGCATGTAAACGAACAGACTCTTCAACCTGCAACCCTGCAAAGTACATGTCTGGCCAATGTGGAGGGGCAACCAGATTTGTTGTCTTGATTGGAGGTTAGTATTCCTATTCCATGTGCTGGATACAAGGTGATTTGTTAGGGATCATAGAGGTCCTTCAAAGAAAAAAAAATCTATTAGCTTAAAATTAAATGCAAAATAACCAATAATAACTTTTATATATATATATAGAGAGAGAGGGAGGGAGAGAGAATACAAAGTCAAAGTTCATATGGTTTCATTTTGGTGTCCCGGTTTTTTAAATATACATGGCTACATTTGAGTTTGAATTAGCTCCCACGTTAGAGATTAGTAAATCAACAGTCAAGACTAAGTTCTACCGATGCTCTGCAGCCTGGCATTGTACAAGCATATGTAACTATGACAACTTCTCATGCAGGAATGGTTTTTGGAGCTTCGTTAATGATCGGTTTGGGCCTAATATGTTGTTTCTTTAGGCGGCGCTCCAAATTAAGAGTCACCAAGAGCACAAAAAGGCGCTTGACTGAAGCTACTAGCAATTACAGCGTTCCTATTTATACCTATAAAGACATTGAGAGAGCCACGAATAACTTCTCTGAGAAACAGAGGCTTGGAACTGGGGCATATGGGACTGTTTATGCTGGAAAGCTTCACAATGACAAATGGGTTGCCATTAAAAGGATCAAATATAGAGACACTGACAGCATCGAGAAAGTAATGAACGAGATCAAGCTCATTTCCTCTGTGAGCCATCCCAATCTAGTCCGCTTGTTGGGTTGCTCTCTCGAATACGGAGAACAAATCCTTGTCTACGAGTTCATGCCCAATGGAACATTAAATCAACATCTGTTGAGGGAGAGAGGGATTGGGCTCCCATGGTCGGTTCGACTCACTATTGCTGCTGAAACAGCACGAGCCATAGCACACCTCCACTCTGCCATTGATCCCCCCATTTACCACAGGGACATTAAGTCAAGCAACATACTGTTGGACAACAATTTTAGATCCAAAGTGGCAGATTTTGGTCTTTCAAGGCCTGGAATGACCGAAATATCCCACGTTTCAACTGCCCCGCAAGGAACGCCTGGCTATGTTGATCCACAATACCATCAAGATTTCCACCTTTCTGATAAAAGTGACGTTTACAGCTTTGGGGTTGTACTTGTTGAGATCCTAACAGGATTGAAAGTGGTGGACTTTACTCGTCCCCAGAATGCAGTGAATTTGGCTTCTTTTGCTACGGACAGGATAGGGAAGGGGCTTTTGTATGAGATTATAGATCCATTCCTGGAAGCACATAACGATGATTGGACACATTTCTCCATACACAAGGTAGCCGAGCTAGCATTTCGCTGCCTCGCATTCCACAGGGACATGAGGCCTTCAATGACAGAAGTGGCTGCTGAGCTAGAGCAGATCAGACTGAGTAGGTGGACAACCTTTGAAGACAGCAATCGAATAGCCTCAACGGAGTTGTCCTCTTCTTCTCCTTCCTCTGATGAGAGTGAGAAGCCTCTGAGTGTGAAAGAAAATACGGTAGGACCGGAGGGCAAAGGGCTTCTCAAGTTGCAGACTAAGCCTGCCGCGTTAAACTTAATGGAAAGGCCGAAGAGCTCTCCGGTCTCGGTGCAAGACCCAGATTTTTGGCTGAGCGAACAAAGCTCTCCTTCATCGAATAGTTTGCTGAGTAAAAAATCATTCGAGTGACCTTATGCGTCGGTAAACATGACCCTGGTGGTCCCGCTTCCCAGTATTGCTGTAGTTAAGAACTTATAATAGGAGACCGATTCTGATGTCGTTTTGAGGAGCAAGATGATCGTCTATCCAACTAGGATTTGGATCCTCTCTATAGTCCATACTCTCTCCCCTCACTCTTCCTTTTTCAATCTCATCTATTAATTTAATTATTATTTTAGTTTAATAATGTGAGATTGTTAATTATATTATTAAAATAAATAAATTATTTATTATCGTCACTTAAATGATTTTAAAAATAAGACGATATAATACTTATTGATGATAACTATTAAATAAATACCCTATTTATTATAATGTTATAATTAACAATAGCACACCTGAAGAAAAATGAATTTTTAAATGGGTGGCTGAGATTGGATATAGAAACTAGAAAGATATGTTAAAAAAAATATAGAAAGGATTCAAATCCATTCAAGGTTGTAATATTCCACGTCCGGCATGTGAGCGCTTTTCGTTTACCAAGTATTCAAATGAAGTGAGGATCAGAGGTCGTGTCTGTCTGAGTCTGAATGTTGGATTCAACCTGAAATCACATGAAACGCAGGCGCCCACATGTGAATAATGACCAGCTTAATCAGGGTCAGACGTCCATTGCGTGCTTCCGGATTGGTAAAACATGCCGACTTAAGACTCAAGCGTTGGATTTAATAAAAAATTCAACACGAGAATTACACCAATTTTTTCTCGCCTCCCACTTGAAACGTGGAGGAAAGTGTTGAAGATATAGTGCCTATTTGATTAAGCAAAATAATTAATTTTTTCAGTAAAAAAATCGATTAACCAAAAAAATATTCAAACACATGATTTTCATTTAATCAATTTTTTTGGTTAAAATCAATTTTTCTCAAAAGCTGACAATTTGAGCTTCTTCACAGAATTGATAAAAAAGCGGTGGAAAAAATTATAAAGAAAGACTCAAAAAATTATAAAAAAACCCAAAATTTAATAAAAATAAAATTAATAATATATTTTACTTCTTAAATAAAATATAACAACTTTAATAATATTAGATATAAATTTATCAATAATTTAGTTTTGAAATGCAATATCCTTTATGGTAATTTATACAATTAAAATTAATTTTGAATAAATTATCCAAACGTATTTAATTCCGTTAAAATTAATTTTAGAAAATAAGTATTCAAACAGATTGCGTTATAACATAATCAGTTATGATTAAAATCTATCACTTAATCAATTATTTTCATAATATATTATACCCAACTGCAATTCAAACGGGCACATACTCCTTCCAATCCTTATCGACATTTTTAATCATTTTACGTATATTAAAAATTAATTTTTACATCATAAAAAGTGATATATAATTTTATTCTTAATCCTGACTTTAAATAATAATATAACTATATTAAATACCTTCAAGCTAATCAAAAAAATAAAATTAAAAAATATTTAATTATTATAAGGTATCTTATATTTTAAATTAAAAATTATTTTTAAAAAATATCTTATAAATAAAACTGGATGGGGCATATGCTTTATCCTCAAGAGCGACAGTGAACTTGTGGACTGAGAACTAGCTATTTCCTTTTTCTTTCTATGATTATATTTAATGAGCGAAATACTAGGTATTTTTTAAAAAAAAAGACATGTGTAAACTTAATACATACTTTCTTCTTACCATATTATATGAGTGATAGTTAATTAATTTAAAATTTATAAATAATATTCATTGAAATTTTAAATTTTTTAAAATGTTTCCATTTATACCTTGAAAAATGTTTCTATTTATACCTTTATTAAATACTATATATAAAAAACTTTGATTTTTTTTAAAAAAGAGTGATAAACAAAATAGGGTTATAGTTAAAAAAATAAATATAAAATTTATTAAATACTTTATATGTTAAATCAGATAAGATTTTTTACAAAATATCTCATAAAAGTTTGCTATTTTAGAGAGGAGAGAGGGAAGCTACTGGGGCAAGGGAGAGGAAAAGGTTTCGCCTGAGACCCGAACATGGATGAATTTGGGATTCAAATATTCAATGAAAAATAGCGATGAAGGATCATCAAAGAAAAATTAAATTAATTAAAAATTAATTGTTATTAAAATATAAATAGAAAAAATTTTAAATAAATTATTATTAATTCAGTTATTATTAAAATCTGAATAAATATTTATTAATAAAAAATTATTTAAATTAATAAGTATTTATTTAAATTTTGATAATAAATAATTATTGATTGATATAAATTTCTTTCCGCTTTCCTTGATTGATATTTTACTAATATTCAACGCATTAGCATGGTGAACAGTGAACACTGAATACTGAATCATTAACAATTAAATTTTTTAATCAAAAAATCATTAACAATTCAGAGTTTTATATATATATATATATATATATATATATAAAACGATACCGTGAGTGCTAGTTTGGGCTGCTATATCGAGAGAATTTAGGATAACTTTGATAATATAGTCTATGATCTATAAATTTACGTCTTTGTTGTATTTCTTAATATATATATATATATATATATATACACACACACACTCTTTTCTATTTAAAATATAAACATTTTTTTTCAATTAATTTTGGTTCAAAGTATAAGCAATTTAATACATGTAATTTTTTTTTCATTTTAATCCTTATAGTTACTAATCTAAATCTTTGTGTGTGTGTATATACCCCCTCTAATCTAAAACATAAGTAGTTTTTTAAAAAAAAAAATTGTATACCAATAAAGTTTTTATTCCTATAAAAATTTATATTATTTTTTTTTTACTCTTAGTGTCAATTACCAATACAGTAAGAGATACATTTATTAGGACTATAAAAAGGATTGACCCAATGAATCTTCAGCCTAACTTATAGTTTGGTTTTTTTTATAAAAAGGATTGAGTTAAACAATTCATAATTTAGTCTAATCCTAGTATAATTTGAAATTGAACAAGATCCGACGAGTTCAGTAAGATTAGGAGACTGGTTTCGATCTTGTCAGACATCCCATATTTTTTTTCTTTTTTATCCATGCGAGATAGCAATTTATTCTAATATAATAAACTCAATTAACATAATAAAATTACTTATAGTCATATAAAAGTTACCACAACAATAACAATTATAAATTCACAACAATCTCCAATAACTATAAAAAGTATCTTCAGTTATAACACAAATTATTTAAATTAAATAACCTTTTAACAACATTAAACAACCTTCAATATGTCTAAAGTTTATTAAACTAAGTTAACAATAAATTTCACCAATAAAAGAAGAAGATTGAGGTTAGTTAATATTAGAATTTTGCTTAATATTTTTGAGTTCGCAAGTATAAAACATAAAAAAATACTAATTATTATTATAAATTAACTTATTGTAATAATAATTAATAAATTAATTATAATTATATTAAATAAATTTATAAGATCGGACTGGACTAAGTAGTCTAGATGTTCAGTCTCTTATCCAGTCTAACTTGAAGAAAGAATTTGATCATTTTGGTCTTAAAAGACTAATTTTTATTTAGACCGGATATGATCAAGTTTGTCTCGAGTTGATTTGAACCGCAATAGAGTGAAGGACTTTTGCATAGACCTAACATTTACACAAGGATCTATACAAGGGGTGAAATGAAAAAAAAAATTACGTATATTATGTTACTTATATTTTGAATCAAAATTAACGAAAAGAAAATATTTAAACTTTGGACCAAATGGAGTATATAATAATTTTATAAAACTTGATTAACAATATTTTTAAGAACTTGATTAATAATAGAACATAATAGAATTGTGAAATGCATATAGCTGGCTCCATTTAATGATACAAGACTTCTTGTTATTATTGTTTATTGTATAATAATTTTATAAAACATACATTATGAAATAAGAGTATGATAACAACAATTAACATGTGATGTGAGTGAGGAACATGAACCATCTTTTGCCCACTGGCCCAACAAAATAAAAAAACATCTTTTGCCAACAGCTATATCATCAGTTATCGCACACTTTTTATCGAAAGTGACCACATATTCAATCCCACTCAACCATTGAAGCACCATTAGCCAAAAAATTTTCTATGCATTTGCCAAGCGCTCGAGAAGGAAAAATGCTCATAACAAAAGCCCGTTTTCTAAGCAATTAATAAGTCGTCAACGTCTGATTTAAAAAACATAACCGAAATTGTAATTTTTAATATTCAAACGCAGCTCAAATTAAAATGCTTTGAAAATATTGTGTACAATAATAATTATGAATATTCTAAAAAAGGACCAAGTCAGTGCCATTACCTCTGTAACCCACTCACGATATTCAAAATGTAAGAATGAGGAACAGGGCTGGAGTGGATAATTTGCTTTGTTTATGACATGAAAAATGATCAATTAATTCAGATTGAATCTCAAATATCAAATTTTAATAATTTATAATTTAATTTCTTAATTTTATAATTTTATTATGATGAATTTGCAACTTGTATTTTAAATTTTAATAAAAAAATAATTTTTTTATTCTTCAATCATGTTAAAATTTTAAAAATAAGTTATAAATTTATTATAATACAGTTATAAAATTGAGAGATTAAGTCACAAATTTTTAAAATTTAATATTTAAAATTTAATTTAAATTAATTAATGCTTTTAAAACCTATTTGTCATTATCCGTTCTTTTTAAAGCAAGGAGAGAGAACATTATGGAGCAAACCAAAAGTTGCCTGTAAATAAATGAGACCCACCCTCTCAAGAAGCATCAATAATCACTCAACACAATTTTCAGACCCAACATTTAGCCCCATAGCTGGGACAAGTGCTCATCTTAGTTCCCATTTCATGCATTTATTCCCGATTAAAGTTTTTTTAATTCGATTTTCTTAATTTATTTTCAATTATATTTTTATCCATATAATTTATAGAAGAATTGCAGTAAGAGATCCTAAGTTACTTACTCCTAATCATCAATCGTTTGAAGTCAGATTAGTTTTCATATTGGTGAGATCTTTAAAATCTCTCGCACGCCCATGAAATCTAAGCCACGGAAAATCAAACTAGACCGTTGCCTCGTATGACCCTCGTTTTTGCCCTGCTGTGTTACCTGTGTACGCTACTCATTATTTTGCCCAGTCAGCACTGAACAGCGTCAATTGTTTTTATTTTAGGAACTACATGAGATTCTTTGGTGCATTTAGAATTTCTTTAATTCAGAAGATAAATGCATTAAATAAATTGAGAGAAGGAGATGAATTTAATTCATTATAATCTCTTCTTTAGAACAAAAAAATCACATTAAATTAGATCTATATTTACTCAAACCCGGTGAAATACGTACAAAAACAAAGGGCGACTAATACAATGCACGTTGAAGATGGCAGTAGAAGGGAGTGGAGAATTTGTGAGCTCGGCGAGGCTCCGTCTAAAAGCTAGCTCTTTTGAGAGATGTGACGGTTATGGAGGAACCCAAAGGCGACGTTCCGGCTTGGATCTCGAATGAATCGTACCGGAGGAACAGCTCCACCACCAGCAATCTCGTCACCAACGTTACAAAATCCTTCCCCGCGCACTGCTTGTTCTCCACCGTCGGAGACTCCGTCTCCGGTCCGTTCGAACCACAGCACGTGCTTCAGCAATCTCTCACCCTCCCCAACAAACCTATCCCCCACGAACTCTTCTGCTCTCTCGAATATTTTGGGATCCTTGGTCGCGAATGGCTGATACCCAAATAATAGCTCCCCTTCTTTCACCTCGAACCTGTTCTCGTGGTTCTCTATCACCAAGTCTCGCTTTGCCCTCCCGTATTGTAACGGCACCGGCGGCTCTATCCGGAACGCTTCGTACACCACCGATTTCATCAATGGCATCCGTTCCATCGCTTCCATCGTCACCTGTCCGCCCTCGGATCTCACCGCCGATCTGATCTCCTCCGCTAATTCCGTGTGCAGTTTCACCCCTGCTCTTCCGATCCACTTCATTACGTTCGGGAAGAAAAGCTTCATTCCTCCGAAGGAATTGAAGCACGTGGCGAATAGGAGGTTGTGGCAGGCTTCATCTCTCGACACTCCCAGCCGCTCTGCTTCGTCCAGCACGAACCCGGAGGAGTCGTGGAAGAAATCGTACAGCCTCTGGTAATCGGATTTCACCAAGAACGGGGGAAGACGGAAGCTGTGGAATATAGAGTCTTCGATGAGTTTGGGAAGGCCCAGAATCAGAATAGGACTGAGTTGGAACAGCACCCATTTCTGAACGAGCTTCGGACCGTCCGATCCAAGTTTGGTGTCAGCGGGGCTGGACCCATAAAGAGCGCGAGCCAGAAAGTCAAAGGCGGCTTGATCGTGGGCGTCTACGAAATTTGCTTTCCCTCGGGCGGCGAGCTCGCTTTCTAAGTTCTCGAAGAGGCCAGTGTAGCAGGAATGGAACTCGGGGATGACATGATCGCGACGAGACTTGAGGAGGAAGAACATAAGGCGCTTGAGCGGACCGTGTTTGGGCTCGGAGGGGTCGAGATAGGAGAGAACTCGGTAGCCGCCGGTGAGTTCGGTGGAAGGCATGTAAGTGCCGGTGAAAAGATCTTTCTTGTCGACCTGGGTGACATCAAAGAGGACAGGGAAACTCTTGCCGTCGAGCAAGACGACGACTCGGGGGTCAGGAGAGATCAGAGGCCCAGGGGGCATATTGGCGCGGAACACCGTTGACTGATACTTGTGGATTCTTGATTTGAAGTATTCGTCACGACCTTGGTTGTAGAAATAGTCGAGTCGGTCCTTGTAGGGACCAATGATGGGGATACCATAGTCTCCGGGGATTTGGCGAAGAGGAAGCTTAGGGCGGTCGTGAGACACTGACACCGGGGGAACGGAGACGGAGGGTGTGTCGGAGAGGGAGGCTCGGACGGGACGAATGAAGAAGGAAGAGGGAGGGGAGCGACGGGGGGATTTGTAGGCGGGAGGAGACTGAAGGTGCAGAAAAGGGGAGGACAGGGGAGAGGAGGCCATCAGTGCGGAGGATGAGAAATGAATCGCAGGGAAGGATGATAGTGGAGCAGAGGAAAGTGGTGCTTATGGAGGCGATGGCACGGTGAGAGCCTGAGAGAGGGCACCATCGCTCTCGTTTACCTGCTTTAAATACTCAAACACTCTCTGATCCGTGGAAATTTTCGCATCACTGTTTTGCCCTTCACCCCCCCCCCAGCCCGATGCCTGGCTTCTCTTTCTTCTTGGGTCCCTCGATCCTTTTGAAACTATGCGGTTTCTCTGACATTGTAAAGTTGCAGATTTGCAGTGTGTTTGGATAGTAAATATAATCGATTTTTGGCTCAAAAAATCGATTCTCCAAAAAATTATCCAAACACCCATTTTTTTGGAGAATCGATTTTCAGGCCAAAAATCGATTATTTTCGGAAGCTGAGAACCAGAGCTTGAGAAGCTTGTCCAAAATATTGGGAAAAATTACAAAGACAGGCCCAAGCAAAAATTACAAAAAATGCACATAATTTAATAAAAATAAAACCAAATTCTCTTCTTTTCTCCTTTTTTTCTTAATAAAATTTGAACTTTGCATCTTCAAAAAATTGATATTTGGTATTTAAAAATTAAATTATATAGTAATTTATATAACTAAAATTGATTCTAATTAAATTATCCAAACATCTTTAATTCTGTTAAAATTAATTTTAGAAAAATAATATCCAAACAGATTGCGTTATAACATAATCAATTATGATTAAAATCTACCACTTAATCAATTATTTTTATAATCTATTATACCCAACTGAAATCCAAACGCACCTTTGATCCCACTCATCCTCTCAGGCCATTTAGTGCTTGCTCCTCTAATTCAAGCAAACAAAAAAGAAACCTCAGTTTCTCCACTCCATATTTCACCATATTCATGCGAAGTGCCAAATCATTTACTACCCTTCTTCTCTTTTGATATTATAAGATTTTTAATCTAATTACACTGCAAATGAGTTAATTATTTATATTTAAAATTAGACTGGCTCCCGTACGCTTCACAGATTATACATGAGATAATTGACTAAAGTATTTTAAACATCAACATTTAGAATATTTCTACAAAAATATAAATGTTCATTTGTTAAATAAACTCATGAACATTGAGATTATATTTTAAAAAGAAAATTAATGCGTGAAATGTGAATCATGTCTTTTGTGGTATTCATAATATATTCAACATAATTAATTATATTTTTTATTTCAATTTCTTGTTTAAAGTGTATTTTCCAGAAAAATTATCACACAAATCCTTTCATCAAAATTTTACATAATTATGTGTTTTATAACGCTCATGTGAGAGAATTAATCTATATAAATTGTTAATCTGAATATAATAATTATTATTATAAGACATATAACATATTGATTGCATATTCCTGTAATGGAACGATGGCTGTCTTTAAAATGTTTATTTAACATGAAATTAGGAAATAATTCTTTTTGGCTTAAAAAATCTTTTCATTGACAAATTTTCAGGAATTAACTCAAACGTTTCTCTTCTTCATCCGCTCTATCGTCATTCGTGCTCGACCTGTTGAAGCTTTAATTTTTTTACCCATTTTCTGCAAGGTGATGATATCTATTGTCTGATGATTTCATTTTTCCATTGAATCCGATAGTTTTATTTTCTCCAGGTTTTTAAACCGTTGTTCGCGGGTGTTTACCAATCGCTTACTAATCTCCACGTTAGGAATCAAATTACAAATAATAATGTTGTCTTGTAAGACAAAATGAAAATATATATATATATATATATATATATATATTCAATTCTAAGGTTAAAAAACAAATGAACGTTAATTTCTTTAACGAAGTTGAACACGTTCTCTTGAAGAATAATAGATTTTTTGCTCATGGCTCATGCTACGATAAGAAAGAAATATTTCATGTAATGTTTGATTATTTTGCTAAGCTACGTTAAATAGTTTTGGAAAATAATTTGATACAACAAATGAGAGATGATGATATCACAACAATGCGAAGTCCATGAAGAAATTATGCAATTTTAAAATAACTAAATAATAAGTTATATTTTATAAATAGAGATTCATGAAAATATCATAAAATCTAAATAACTAAATCATCATCATCATCATCATCATCATTTATAATGATTTAACTTTTCATTTAAATTAGGGTAAAATTATAACTTTATTTTATTTTTAAATAAAGTTAATAGTTTAATCACCTCCCCTTGAACAGTAAAGTGATTATAGATGTCTTTTAATAAAAACTGGAAGGAGTAATTTGTTGCTTTTAAATAATATTTAATTATTACTTGTGGAACATATTCATAAATTTTAAATATAAAAAAATAAAATTCAAAAGTAATTTAAACCTCCCCTCCCTTGAAGTCTCTTTCATCCCTTCCCCTCTCCTCCAATGCATAAATTTTTGGAGCTTGGGAATCCACCAACATTGAGAAACCAAACATCAAAGGAACCAAAATGAACTTCCATATCAAAAATAAAAAAAGTAAGCTTTTAATGACATTGAGATACCATCTACCAGAAGCCTACGGAATTTATTCCCCCTTCACCTCTATCCTCCCCCAAAAACAACCCTCTTCTGTTCTGCATCACATGTTTACTCCAACAAATCTTTCATCTCCTATTTCTCACTGATTTTTAGAGTCCCTCATGTGCTGCTGATGCAAAGATTTTCACTCAGTTGATAACTAATAGAATTAAGTATTGAGTAGCTTGTCAAACGTAACACAAAGTAAGATATCAGAGTAAAATGTACACCACACTCCTTGGTCTTCTAAGTGCTGAGAAGAATGGACGAAGGAGAACAATAAGAACATGAAAACTGATAATGCAGGAAAAAACAACCTTCAATCAAGCTTGAACCAAAAAAATCATAATAAATTATCAAGAACTTCATTCCAATCCATCAGGAGAGAAGAATAACAATATAACTATCTTTTCCTCCTCCTCCTTTTTTTTTAACCAAGATACCATGCATTTTTACTTTCTGGTGTTTCAATGCACCAGCCCAATCAACCCATATGTCTGAACTCGTGCGAAATCATTTCCGTATATTGGGTTTAATCTGTCAAAATTAATAGTAATCATCACATGCATTCACCATTATTTAAAACAAAAACGAAGAACTAATCAATTCATCCAGCAATTATATATTTATTTTATACCAAGAGACGACCACAAGGGGTTTCAAAATATGCTCCAAAGTTGGTACTTCCAATAGCCTCTGAAAGGCTACTAATAGAATCCCTAACTACAGCTGCAATTCCATATTCATGCAAACTGAGAATTCGATGGAGAATCCCCAACTAATAGTTGGAATAGGAATACAAAATGTAATATCATTGCACTTCCTTCAAATAAAGAACCAAAATGGTTGCTCAATCCTCATGCTTAGCATAATTTGGAAACTTCCTTGAAAATTGAAGCATAAGCAACGCATCAGGAATGAGACATCAAATGTGATCAAATGAACATGATTAACATGAATAATCTTAAACCTAGAAAAAGAAAAGGTAAATTCAGTCATCAAAATACCTGCTAACCTTCCATTAACCTTGGAATAAGTCCATAAACTTGGTAACTTACAAATTACAATATCAACTTGACTAACACTTGCACCTTCTCCAGCCGCCATAGTCCAAATATGTCCTTTTGAATCCAATGCAGTAAATTTAGAGGATGCACTTGACTCTAGTATGGAAACAAAAATATATTATACTCGTATCAGAGGCAGAGGAAGCCTGGAAAAGTGCATCCCAGATTAATCAGAATTATAGTAGGAAAAAACTTAAAACTTTGTAAGTTCTTAAGATTTTCCCCAATTCTGACTGCTCAAAAATGCAATATGATAGATGGCTCTGCAGGTACTGTCTTAAAGTAACTAATGGCATTTAAAATATACTAATAAATAGAGTGGATGAAGAGGACCTGCAAGCTTGTTACTCCTCTGAACGATCTCAGAGGATTAACAGAGAAAGAAGAAGAAAATAATGATTCCATTTATAATCAGGAACGTAAGGAAGTATGCGTCTAACCTTTTGTGAGATAGGAAACGGTGGAAAAAGAGTTGGAACTGCAAACGGTGAAGAGCGAAGGGAAGAACTGCTTGGAAGTAAAAACTAATAAATTAGTTGGCTTGGATCCCATAACAGAAAACAAATAATGGAAAACTTTTTGAGAATAAAGAAAGTGTAAAAATGGGAGGAAGAATAGATGGAAAGAACCTGTTGACCGGATTCAAGACAAAGGAATACTCCATTCAACAAAGCATAGCGCTCTGAACGAAATCTCAGTTGAAAGCTGCAAGGGAAAAAATAATGAAGTAGTTGAAGAAGAAGCCAAAGAATGCATCAGCAAAACCCACAGCGTGAAAGGAAGCGAATGAATGCAAACTGACTGCGTTCAGGACCAAACGGAACGGTCTCTAGAGAAGGGAGCAAATGAAACACATCGGAAATAGCATGAGACAGCAGCGATTAAGGGGGGAAGGAGTTCGCAGGTAATATTCCCGTGAATTTCTCAATTTTCTTTCGAGATTCGAAACTGCGGGCAAGTAGGGCCAATTGAACACGTTCACACACGGATGCTGGGAGTACCGATTAAAATGGAATTAACCAATGAGAGAGGTATATTAAAAAAATACTCAAACTGCATTAACTAACGAGATATAACGATTTTTTTTTTTTTACCAATGCTTTTTACAAAATTTGTAGAATGTAGTTGATGATTGATAATTGGTTGATTGATTGATGATTGATCATGATTGATGATGATTGCACAATTTTTTTTATGTTTTCTTACTAATTTTGTCCCAAGTTATAAAAACATTTTAAAAGTATTTTATTATTTTAAAATATAAAATAATTTAATAAAAATAATTTTTCATTAATTTTGAGTATTCAATGTTACCCTTTTAGATAGTATAGAATTGAAAGATTATAATATAATGATTAAATATGTAGATTTAAAAATATATTAAATAAAAGAAAATTTAAAAGTTTACATTATTGTTTTGAAAAAATAAGTTTGTAAAATGTTATTGTAAAGTTTTATTAGTGTATAAAATCTTGTCTCAAATGAAAAGACTATTGTTAAATAGAGCGTCTGAGTTAAAAAAAAACTTTATTAATTACACCTCTAATTAAAAGTGAAAAGGCCTTATTATTAGTTACACCTTAAAATACACAAAATAATTTATGCTATGTTTAGATATATATAAATTTAGATTTGAGTCAAATTTATTATTTATGTAATTAAAAATGTATGAATTTAAATTTGACCTAAATTTAAATTTAAGTTTTACCTCAATCTTTTTGTAATTTTAAATTATTTCTAAACCTTTATTATTTTAAATCACAACTTAATCTCTTTCGTAATTTGACCTAAATCCATGAAGATTTGATCTACCTAGTAATGGTAATTAGATTGGACAGCCGAAGCTGATAGTTCACAAAACCAAGTCGCTAGCCTTAATGGGACAAGACCATTTGACCAAGATTGCACCGCCGATGCCAATTGGGATTAAATGGTTGACTTTCATTGGGACCTGATCGCCCATGTGAGTAGGGATTGAAGTTCAAGCAACAATCCAGACCAAACGACCGACATCCATCAAGACTGGATTGTCGGCACCAACCCAAACCGAATTGTTGACTTCTACAAGAATTAGACCATTGATGATAACTTAGGCAAGCCTCGACTTTGACCAAGTTGACTTTTATTGGAATCGTACCTTGACAATAATTGAAACCAGACAATCGACTTTCATTGAGATGGGACTGACGGCAACAACTCGAACTAAATGCTGACTTTCACCAGAACCAAACCAACAATGACAACCTGTCGACTTTCACCAAGACAAGACTAACGATGACAACTTCCTAGTATCGATATAAAGTTTGATACACCATGTCATTTATACTTTATCTAATAAAATGTGTCAGGTTGCACTAGTTCATGAGAAATTTTTGTATGTGTTTGGTGCACTATATCATCCATGCTCCATCCAATAAAATTATATCAATTCAATTCAATTAAATAAATTTTAGTGTCATTATTTTTAATAATTTTGCTTTTAGAATAGAAAACCTATTTAATTTATTGCCTTTTATCTTTCTGCTGTCATTAATGACATGATTAATTTATATTTACAATTACCTAAATATCATGTTTTTATTGAATAGAGCATAAATTATGTGATGTACTGAGTTCATGCAAGAAATTTTGATGGCGATAAATTCTTAGTTAGATTGAGTGTGCTATGTCATTTGTAAACTGTCAAATTAGAATGCTCGAATAAAATCTAATGTTACATTTTTTAATTAATTTTATTCTTTAATGGAATGCAAATTTAATTTTTTATCTTTTCTCTCTTTATGTCATTAATGTTAGAATTAATTTATATGTAATATTATTTGAATGTTATATTTTTACTAGACAAATTATAAATGATATGGTATATTCTAATCTATTTAAAATTCTCTCCTAACATAACATGATTTTATTGGACAAAGCATGTATAGTGTGGTACAGCAAGTCATTGACCGGATTTCTCATGATAAGAGATGTGAATATATATATATATATATACATATAAAATAAATTCAAGATTTCAGTCCAAAAATAAATTCACGATTAATATGCGTCCGGAATTATTGAACATTAATGTAATATATTTTGGGGAAAATATGAAATCCTTTCATTGTGAACTATTAGTAAGCGGTATTAAAAAATAAATGGAAAATAATAAATGCATTATTTATACGATTCCGAAATAATGGAAATAGTTTATAGTTAATGAGACTAATAAATTTGTGATAAGTAATTAATTTTTAAAATGGTAACAAAATAATTAATAGTGAAAATTATATATGAAATGATAAATACGTAACAGATATGTACAAGGAATAAGAAGATAATAATAAAATTAATAATAAAATGGAAATAGATGGTAAAAATATGAATGGTTGTGGATATGATATGACTGATGGCGTCGCCTGAAGGCACTAAAGCAGGGGCGAGATTAATACTACGTGGCAGAAATCCTTTCTTATTTTCTACCTTGAAGTTATCATCGCTTCCTTCTCCATTATTTTCTACCTTGAAAACTGGATTTGGAATCCGTTTCCTATGCATGATACATCCACGTTAACGGATATGAATTCCCCAATTTTTTTATTGGCATGAAAATCTTATTACACGCACTAATTCTAACAAAAAAAAAAAACCTGTAAACAACAAACAAGCCAGAAAACCAAGTAATCATTCTCACAAATAAAGTAGTGATTTAAAAAAATAGTTATTTTTTAATTCATCTATAAAAAAAATTTACATAAAAATGATTATTTTTTATTCTATTTTAATCAATGACACAATTTAATTAATTATTTCTAAAAACAATCAATGAGGGAAAATTTTTCATTTCATAAAAAATCAAGATGCTAGACAAGTTTCTAGGCATAAATAATAATTATCAAGTTTACCGTTATTTTATTTACATTTGCATATTTTGGGTTTTTTTTTATCATTCTAAAAAGACATATAAATTGAAACAAATTTTATTTAAAATTTTTTCTCATTGTTTAAATTAAAAGGTATTTTAATTTCATTTCCACCTCTCAACAAAACATTTAAATTTGGCCCAAGCAAAAGAACGGCTAACATTGTTAAAAATTGCTTACTTTTTCCATGCCCTTTTTTATTCAATTGAGCAACTCAAGTAAAATAAAATATAAAATTGTTATTACTTTCAAATGTTTATTAAAAATATATTTTTAAATATTAAAGTATATTTTGATTTTTAATTCTACACAAGATTTAATTTTTAAATTTTTAAATTTTATAAAGTGTATTTTAAATTTTTTAAGCCCAATAAAATTATTTTTATCACAAAAAATTATATTGAAATTTTAAAAATTTAAAAAATATTATCAAATGTTGACTCATTGAGTTTATTTTTTAAATAATAATGATTGACATAAAAAATAATTATTTAAAATTAACAATATTAATGTTAGAGTTAAAGGACTAAAAATATACTTTATAAAATTAAGGAACCAAATTTAAACCTTATATAAAGTTAGATGATTAAAAATATATTTTCACCTTTAAAAAAACTCATTATCATTCTTACAAAATACAAGAATATATCTTATAATTCTCAGCAAAGAATATTGCTAACATAAAAGAAAGTAAAGAAAGCCTTAAATAGCAAAAGAAGTGGTCCGCTGGCAGTAAGGCAGTAAAGATTATCTTCCTTAAGGTACAAAGGATAAAGGGCAAACTTCTCTCAATCGAGTTGTTACATATATAAAAATTAGGATTTGATCTCTTAATTACTTACTAATGAGAGTTTTTATCACTCATTTCAGCAAACTTTTTAAGTGGTGATAACTATCCCTCCTACACTTCACACGGTCGGCCAATCTAAATCTCTAGTAAAATAAGAAGACGAAGCTTCTAGGAAACCACCCATTTAATTGCCAAAAGAGGAATTCTCATGATTCATGAATGACGCTGTATCGAAGGCAGTCCAAGCAAAAATAGCTATTGACTATTACTTATTCAGTTCGTCCTCCCCAATTTATAGGATATTTTTTTAAGAGTGATTTGATGTTATATAATATAAAATGTTTTGATAAAAATAATAATTTTTTGTAAAATTTATTTTAAAATTATTTGTTGTTATTTTACTCTTTAAACAGTATATTTCTTTTTCTTTCTCTTCCTTGTTAAATAACGAATGTTTTTTAAAATTTATACTTTCTCGTTTAGAGATTAAAATTTCAAACTATATTTAACTAGTCTTATTATTTTTTTATTTTTTATTTTTTTTGGTCGAATATTAGTATTCTTTTTTTTTTTGATAAAGCGAATATTAGTATTCTCCATCTTACCAAAAACGTTTTGTGAGGAGGGAGGGAATGCGAGGGTACCAAAACGTGGATTCAAGATCCTTGACTGGCGGTGACTTTGACCAAAAGGCCCGTTTTCCGTGATTCCAATTTCAACGAAACCTATTATGGTGCGTGCCAGGATATTAATGTTAGCACTTCATCCGTTTTTTAATATAAAAAATTTCGACAAATTGATGCGGTCTGAAATTGATCCTAATGATTATATTTAAAATTACAATATTTAGACTAAAATGCATTTATGATTAATTTTTTTCTCTAATTTAATGATATTGTTGACTTATAAGGGATAATTTGAGGAAAATATAATTAATGTTTGAAAGTTGTAATTTTTTTATAATAGAAAATTGGAAAATTTTCATTTAGGACCTCTTAACTAGACTTAATTAAACAAAGAGGCCGGTAAACTCTAAAATTTCGCTTTAGTCTAAGGGCATTGAAGTAAAATTAAAATGCTTAAAAAATTTACCTAAATGTTCCTATTGAAAGATAGTTTATTAATATGAGTTGTTCCTTTTTCTACATGTTATTATTCATTATCTTACATTAAATTATTCATTCCTCTATCATTTATTGTTTGTCCGTTACTTTTAGATGATTTCTTTTCAAGTATTATCATTATGCTAACACAAGTTATTCATTTTCTTACG